AGATGAACCTCTGGGAAGACTTGGAAAAGGAGGTGGAAGAGGGGAAGAGAGAGGGTGGGAGATGGGAGGGGGAAACCTGGGAAGATGGAGCTGGAAGGGAGAAGCAAGGGGAAGAAAGGGGAGGGGAATCTCAGGGCTCAGGTTTGGGAGTCTCACCGGACCAACCTGACTTTCATGCAAACCTGCTCCTGGGTTCGCATGTGGCCTTTGGTGGCCAGGCTGGCAGCTATCCTACCATAGACGGCCATGTTCCTCCCACTAGGGCTGAGATCATGGAAGTTGGGGGCATCCCCCCCAAACCTGAATAAGGTCCATGATCTCCACCCTGGACCAGGAAGGTGCCCACCTTCTCCAGCTCTTGTCAGGCTCCTGGGAACTGGCAGACTGCTCCTGGGGAGCTGTGGAGGGCTGGCTGACAGTGGCTTGATGACTCAAGGATCAAGGGCCCCGATGACCACTGCTGGCTCTGGGCTGGTAGGCTTGGAGCTGGCACGGGCACTGTGGCCAGGGTCTACCCCTTTAATGGCTCTGGGGCTGGGGGAGAGAAGAGTATGTTTTTCTGGTTGTGCCCAGAGTGGCCACCAGGGTTCCCTGGGAAGGGCTGGAGGCCTCCTATTTCTAATTAACTGTCTACACAGCACTTATTTCAAATTAGCTATTTCGAATTAGGTGTTATTCCTTGTAGAATGAGGGTTACCTAATTCGAAATAAGGGCTCCGCTATTTCGAATTTATTTCGAAATAGCGGTTTGTATGTGTAGACAGCTATTACAGTTAATTCGAAATAACTGTTGTTATTTCGAATTAACACTGTAGTGTAGACATACCCTCATGGACCCTAATGGGTTTAAGATAAAGCTCAAAAGGAACTGTGGGTACATGGTAATATCTTCAGTTCTGAGCCCTATCTACATGAATAATGTGATGTATATGTAGCTTGTAGGAAGTTCAACAATCTAAATAGGAATAAGTGACATTAACGCTGAAAGACCTCAAGACTGGCTTCATCCGGATGAATCATTTAGTCTTTACTATAGCTGACACTTGTATCAATAGGAAGCTGGCAAAGAATTTGCACTGTCAGTTAACAAAATTAAATCTCACTGCCAAATTTTGACTGATATTAATCAGTGAAACAGAGATTCCTTTTTCAGCTCAAAAGTCCTGACTTTGCTATCAGATCTGCACATGTGCAAGGATTTACCCAGGAGGAACTAATGAGATGATCAGAGCCAAAGAGTATTGAAAAGACTGTCGTTATTGTTATATTGTATTACTAGAAGATTTACCCCGCGTTGCTCAGGTCCTTCATTGAATTATTTTTTGTTTTTTGGGAAATAAATTGCAGCAATAGATGCTTCATTTAAAACAGTGTTTCCCAACCTATGGGTTAGGACCCAAATATGGGTAGCCATTATATTTCAAAAGGGTTGCCACGTGTCTCCCCAGGTGGCTCTTAAGGAGCCATTCATACATTTTTTTAATTGCCCTAGGTCACCAAGTCTTCTTGAATTATCAAAATGGGTCCTGTGACAAGTTGGCCCGGCCCCGCACTACAGCTAAAAGAGTTCACCTGGCCCCGGGGATGGGGCAGACCCCACCCCTGCAGCCTTGCTGGGCATGCACACAAGTGAGTCCTGGAATAAAAGCAAGGGAAAGCAGGAAGTCACGGGAGGGGTTTAGGACAGAGATCCTGAGCCATCCCAGCTGTTCCCGAAGCCAGACCTGTAATCATCATGACTGCTGGAGCAAGGCCTGCTGACTCAGCCGCTCAGGAGCCGAAAGCTGAAGCACAGACCCCAGGACATCGCCTCAGCCGGGGAGAGGTAGAAAGCAGCCCAGGGTGAAGTAAAGACCTCCGGGAGGTCGACGTGTTCTGGCAGGCATCCCCACTGACCAGGCAGTGGATGCTGACCCTGCCAATAGGGCCCTGGGCTGGGACCTGGTGGAGCAGGAGGGCCCGGGTCCCCCTACCTTCTCCAAAACCCCCGTAATCCAGCCTCCAGGGTGGTGAAAAAGGCTGGCTTGTATGGACTAGGCTGGAGGGCCATATTTCCCCTCATAAAGGGGCACTGACTTGTATGGACTAGGCCAGAGGGCCGTATGTCCTCTGATAATGCGGCACTGAACTTCGAGGTCCAGGCCAAAGGGATTATGCATTCCCAGGTCCAAGGTGAATTCGCTCCGAGACTGGGGCCTGTTCTCTCACAGGTCCCCATCTAGAAAAGGTTGGGAACCGTTGATTTAAAACATTGCTCTGGGGTGAGGGTGGGATGATAGACTCAGTGTGCAGGCTGCCCCCGGGAAAAAGGACAAGCCCATTCCTCCCTCAGTGCAGTAGCTGAGAGCTGGGTGAGAAGTGCCTCTCCATGGCTGCTGAAGCTCCAGTGCATGTAGCTGGGGGAGGTGTGTATGTCTCTCAGCTGCGGTAGGTCCAGGTTCATCTGACCCTTGAGCTCCCCAGCCAGAGTGAGGAGTGCAGCAAACAGGGCACTTTCCCCTTGCTCCCTGATGAAGGTGAACAGCCAGCAATGTTTCCTTGCGAATTGGGGAGCTTTGGGTGTCTAGGGGGTAGAAGGCTTGGGGTGGGGCAGCACCTTTCACCTCTCTGGTGAGTCTCTTTTCTGTGTGGTTTTTAGGAGAAGCATTCCCATTCCAGGCACATCCCATTTTCCTGACACAGGCAAGCCCGCATCTTCCTTTAAGTTGTATAAGAGGAAGCTGTATACATAATTTGGTGGTCCCTGGCTCTTACAGACAGATGTAGGGATGGACAGACTGACAAACTCTTTCAAATCTATAGTAGATAAGGGTGCCTAGCGGTTCCAGCTGAGAGCAGAACCCTATGGTCCTGGGCATTGCACATTTACTCTAGAGTTTATAATCTGAACGGATATGCTAGACAAAGAGAAGGGGAAACTGGTGTCTGGAAGGTTACCCAAGATCAAAGAAAATGAGAGCAAGAGATGGCAATTTGAACTCATATTTTTGGACTCACAAGCCAGTATCCTGTCTGCTAGACAAAGACCAGAACAAATGGCCCCTTTCATTTGATCTACTTTATTTGCAATTTATACCTTTTAGTTGCATTTTCTTTGCTTTGATTCTCTTCCTTTTAACTAAAATTGGCCTCGTGAAAGTCACATTTGGTTTTTATTATTATTATTATTAATGTTAGCATACCACAGAGAGGATTTTCAGTACCCAGGAGAGGCACTCGGTTGTCCTTCTTTTTTCAATAATGCCTTATACCAGTCTGATCACCGTACCTTGTTTTAGTAATTCCTCTATCATATGGAAAAAGAAGGCCTTGTCCCTTTTGTAATAAGAGATGTATTACACACTGTATATTCAAATATTCGGAATCACTGTTACATGATGTTACATATAATTCCATTTAAAGTGAAATGTTCAATTATTTGTTGTCTCTCATATTGTAACCATCTTATGAATTTTCATTTATAAAATAGGTTACATTGCATCTATTTATACTAAGCATGGGATTCTTCCTATATGGCAGACCAAAATAAAAGTGATTTTAGACATCCTTCTCTTTTTTCTTCTGTTGCTATTGTAACAATTATTCACTTTACAGATGAGATTTCTTCTGAAGTAGTTCCTCGATTGAGTCAGATAATGTGTTTTATAATGCACTGCATGTGAAAAAGTACTAGCAAACAAATATTTTGAGAACCATATGATTTGCATCAATTCAACACTATAAACAGCAGCATAAAAAGTGTTCCCTTTGAAATGTGTACAGAAGAATTTTTAAGTTTGATGCAGCTCTCCTTGTCCCTGCAATTAAAATGATTTTTTCTGATCATCGACATCCTAAAGCAGGATATATGCAAGAAACCAGTGATTCTCAACCTGTTTATACTGCAGACCAGCAAACCCATTCACAAACTTTTGGCAGACCAGTAACATGTTATTTGCATATTCATTTTGGTAATTAATATTGAGGTCACATGTTATTTTACATAGCATCTGTATGCACACAATAGATGTCATAACGGATCGGAGTTTGCAGATATCCATAACACTCAAAAAATGCACAGAAAGAATTCCCCTCTGGCTGCTGATTGAGGCAGAACCTCCCCCAAGGGCAACTGGTGCCTGCAGAGGGAGAGGCACACAGGAGCAGGGGGCATTTGGGGCACCCTATTTAGCAACTGAAATGTTGTGAGGGGCATAAGAACTTGTGCCCCCAAGTGTTACCACCAGTCATCTCTGCCCTCCCCGCTCCTGCCCCATGGGGCGGGGGAGCTGCCATTGTATCTCCCCCTCTCCTTCTGTACAACCCCTGCCCTGTGTCTCTCCCTTCCCCCACCAGGCTGCTTTTGCTCCCCCCAACCTCCTTTCCTCATATCCCCTATTGCCCACCCTATACCACCCCTCAGAGTTTCCTGCTCCCATCCACCCCACAAGACTCCCCTGAATTTTCTCCAGCCTCCCTTCAGCACTTCCTGCATCCTTCTCCTGCCCCCACCTCACATACCCCTGTTTCCCCTCACCCCCTTATCTGCCCTTGCTCCTCTTCAGCCCCCTCCTGACCCACCAGGGCTGGCTCCCATCACCCCTCACAGGCTAGGAGCTGGCAGAAGCTTCCCTGGGCCCCAGACAGGTATCACAGACAGCTCTGCTGGGAGCAGCCCGGGGCCAAACCCTCCTCCTGCAGCTCCAGGGCACTGGGGTCACTGCTCCTGAGGAAAAGGGGAGTTTCCCTGACTTTTTCCCCCCCCCCAAGTGCTGGGGCAGAGGCTGGTCTGGACAGGATCTGGCCAGGTTGGTGGTCCTGCTTTGGAAGAGGCTCCTGGGTAGCAGTGGGACTGACCTTGATGGAGATTCCCCCTCCCAGCTGCAGTCCAGGCTCCAGGGCTCCAGCAGGAACCCCCTCTGGGACACAGGGATCTGCCTGCCCCATAGTCACCATGAGCAGCAGCTGCAAGTCACTTCTTACTGTGGGGGCTGAACCCAGCCCTGGCTCCCAGAACCATTGCCTGCTGCTGCTGGGCCCTAGCAAGCACCCCCCCTCACTGCAGCCCCTGAACCTGGGGATCATCCTACCCCCGGGCTCAGGCAGCATCACCTGCATCAAGGCAGCATCATTCAGAGAAGCCAACACAGCGCTAGGTGCAGGGAGAAGAGACAATCTGGGGATAGGAGAAGGGGAGTTTCTGGGCAGATTGGGCCTTGCTCCAGAGTCCCACTGAGCCAATCATCAAGGCCTCGGTGTGGCCTGGCAGTGTGCCACGGCCTGACTGCCAGCGGTTCAATGCCCAGCACTGGTCTATGGACTGGTGGTTGGGAACTACCACAAGAGACAAACAAAACTAGTTTTGTACTAAATACAGGCCTAGTAATACAATTTGGAAAGCCAACAGTGATTTGGATATGTTGTAGTGCAGAAAAGTAACTTATACTCTATTTCCTCCATCATCTTCCTATATTACACTTAAGAAAACGAAGTAAGGATTTCAATTGTAAGATGTACTTATTTTGCTGAATTTAGCTAATATCATCGCAAAAGAGAAAGATGCTCAAAATCTGTTGTGGCATCAAAGGAGCTGACGTAATAGATTGAGTTTATCTAACGACGAAACCAATTTATAAAATGTAAAGAAAGAAGGTAGTAGGGTGGGAAGAGGGAGCTGGGAATGTGGTGGGGACAGAAAATGTTTACCTGTCACTCAGATACTACATTTGACAGCTTTGCATACGGTATATTATATTCACATCCATGTCTAGTTCATCGAGCAATTTTTGGCATTTTTATTTTTTAGGACATATACAACCATGTAGCTGCTGTTCCAAATATAGAAAATATAATGTAAACAAGTAATTACATATTCTTGCAGACTATTTAATAACTTCAGTGCATGTAGGTTTATCAAGGAGTTCAAAGAACCATCAGCATTGCCATTCAATCATATGGCTAGCCTGTAGAATTCTCTTGTAACAGTTTTATATGGATTATTACAGGTGGGACTTCTTTCACAAATACCTAGACTGATTATTGTTCGTGCACAATCTTCCCGTTTATTTGAGAGATGGAGGAGCAAGCATGCAACATTGGAAGGCCATATGAAGACCCTGGGTATTCCATGGTAACACTTGCTTGAATGTTTGGGACAAGTGTCTTACATTCTCAACTGCAGACTGGAGATTATGCAGCAGCTAAAGTTAATGAATACAATTTTGAGGGCTTTTTCTTGTATTAAATATGAAACTCAACTTTGTAATTAGTTCAGTGTCCCATCTCAATTAATCAGATATTCCATTCCTTTTATATAACATTGTCTCTAATGCTCTTTAATTTTCAAGCTGCATAATTTTATATTGAAAGTGTGCATCTGGTTCAGAAGTTTTTGAGGGAACACTGGAGGAGTTGGCCATTGGATACTAGAGTGAACATTTGGGGCTATTACCATCTGCATAGATATAGCAGGCATTTAGGGTCTGAGATGTACATTAACTAAACATGAAGGTGATAAGTCTTTCCTTTAATTCTTGAGATTTCAAGGTAACAACCCATTCAGATGAACATGGCAATTTACACATCAAGCATCATTTTTTAAATATGTATGGATATTGTGTACCTCATCTAGAAGGTTTTCTTCACAATCATGAGGAGATAGCACTATTCCTGTCACTAGGGAAGACCCATTACTCTTTAAAATTTTGAATGGTGCGCATGAATGTGCGTGTGTAAGCGAGAGCGAACGAGCACGCGAGAGAAGTTCTGTAAAACCAAAACATCCATGTTTTCCTGCCAGGATTTATCCAGTGGAAATCCCTTAGAATATGTCTTGTAGGGTTCCCTTTTCGTACCTCTGCAAACTGATCTCCTTGTAAACCCAGCAGAACTAATAATTGAATGCATCCTAGAGGTCTGTATTGGGCCTATAAAATTACTCTGTACTAAAATAAGTGGACAAAGAGACAACCTGAAAATGATTTCATGGGTCTGTGAGTCTGGTACATAGTCTTGATGGGCTTTGAGTGCTACCTTAAATAGGAATATTTACTACAACTAAAATACGCCCCTATGTGTGTACCAGTGTCTGTGTAGGGCATTCATATGTTTTGCACATTGCGATTTTTCCAGTTATGAGTCAGAGGCTTAGTCAGTGACTCACTATCCGTTTGGTGAACATTACATTTAGAAGCAGCAATTAAATTCACAATGATGGAATTTGTCCCAATTAAGTTGTTAAGATGCAAAGCAGCTTGTATCTCCTTGCTCTGGCACTGCTGGGACCTGATTGGTCCCGGACCAGAGAATCTGCTGGACCAGCGGAGGCCAATGCCCATCCCTCTGCAGCTGCGGGGCTCCAGTTTGGTGGCAGCAGAGGGGCTGGGATTGACTGAGGGGGATAGGAGGGAGGGTTCTTGGGAGAAGAAGCAGAGTTGCCGTCTTTTCCCCTGAATGTGCCCCCCATCATACACACTTGGTCAATGCCGGCCACTTGGCTGCCACCAACAGTGGGGCTACTCTCCTGGCCCCCAGCTGCAGGGATCTGCAGCCATCCTGTTTCTTCCCCCAAGGGCCCCTCACCCTGTTGCCATTTCTGTGTCTCCCTCCCTGAGCTTGAACACTGCAAATGAGCTCTGGGAGCGTGGAGGAAGAGTTGGTTGGTATGGGGCCCAGTTCTGCCCCATGAGTGAACCCACAGGTATGCTGGACCCCAAGTGTAGCTGGATGAGGGAAGCCTGGAGAGTAGAGGACCAGCTTTTCAGAATCATTCCATTATTATGTGACAAAGTTCCACTGCCAAAATCACTGGAGCAGGCTGCAGACATGGTGTTTAGAGTACCTGTTTTCGCACACTTAAATACTTGCTTCTTATCAGATAGCATTATCAACAGTCCAAACAGGATCTGAACCAAATATAACCACTCCATTTTGATTCGATTTTGAAACAGTTACTGGAAACAATATAAAAATGGTCTCTAATCATTTAGCACAATAATGTATCAAAGTTGCGTTTCTTCTCTGGTGTCTTGCCCAATGGTATTGCAAAAGCTATTTTTGCGGCTGGTTGCGGTGTTTGGAACATATGCCAGTGGATCGGGACGGATCAAATAACTGTAAAAAAAAAGATTTTTATAAAAGCTTGATGTAAATTAGGATAAAAGTATTTGCATTGCTAATCTAGCATGATATTGCTAAGGTAATAGGACAGCTTAAAGAGATCTTTTGCCCATGAAAGCCTTACTAAATTGGAAACTTCAGACTAGTTTCTCATTGCTTCATAGAATTGAAATTGTACAGCATATATATTATTACATTTGTATGTTTTTTTCTGCATACTCTACTGTAGTTTGTAAAGTTGTATGTTTTCATAAAGTAATGGAGCAAAATGTTATTATTACTGAAGTTAATGTAATCTTCTTACAGTGTTACTTATGGAGTGTAAGTGAGACCTGATTACCTCTCTATCCATTTGGCGCATACAGACAAATTCCCATTTAATTCATTAAACATACCGGGAAATGACTATATGACTTAAATTTGAGTTTAAATCACAGAGGGCTTTAATCGGAAATTAAACTTCAGCCGGTGACTCCACTTGAAAATGATGCACAATTTTAGATGTATCAGTCCATTGAGGCATAGTAAAACTAGATTTGGAGGAGCTCAAGGGATTCAAATCCTGGAAGGCTCAAACAGTTAAATTAATAGGATAAGAAAATTGTATGGCTGGTTCACGACTAATATCCAAAATTAGTTTTTGTCCATTTGTCGGCTTTTCAGTTGCATATTGTATACAAAGTGAGTTTATGGTCCCATAGTAGACAAGAGAAACACCACAATGAAACACCACCTAATCATTAGCAATCTCAGCAAGAGCCAAGGATTAAGTTATTGATCTCAACTAAATCCATGGAGAGATTCTAATTGACTTCACTGGCAGATAGGCTGGAATTTAATTATATGCTGAACTGCCATCTCTGCTGGGATGAGGCACAATGAGGCAATGCAGAACATGTACATTATCACAGATCACGCTGTATCTGGTAAATACATGTACATGACGGCTACGTCTACACTGGCATGATTTTCCGGAAATGCTTAAAATGGAACAGTTTTCCGTTATAAGTATTTCCGGAAAAAGAGCGTCTACATTGGCAGGATGCTTTTCCGGAAAAGCCCTTTTTCCAGAAAAGCATCCGTAGCCAATGTAGACGTGCTTTTCCGGAAAAAAGTCCCGATCATCATTTTCGCAATCGGGGCTTTTTTCCGGAAAAGACTACTGTGCTGTCTACACTGGCCCTTTTCCGGAACAGTTTTCCGGAAAAAGGATTTTTGCCTGAGAGGGAGCAGCATAATTTTTCCAGAAAAGCAGCTGATTTCTTACAGTAGATCGTCAGTGCTTTTCCGGAAATTCAAGGGGCTAGTGTAGACAGCTCGCAGCTTATTACGGAAAAGCAGCCGCTTTTCCGGAATAAGTGGCCCAGTGTAGACACAGCCGACCAGTCTTCAGAGCTGTCAATCCATACCTTTTATGAGTCTATTGTCATACGGAAAAGAAAATAGATTAGACTGATCTCTAGTATTCCTAATTCAGCAAAGCCACAACATGTTAAGTCCCTTCAAGTGAATAAAAATTTGGACCTAAATTTTATATGACTGATGTGATTGCTGTTGTAACATGTTTGTCAGACTAAAGAAGACTTCAGTTTTAATACAAGAAATGCAATTTTCATATTAAATGTATAAAGGAAAAATATTTGTTGCCATGTAATATACCCAGTGATATAGATAGGAATGTTTTTGTTCATGTCATTAACTATTCAGAAAATGAATGTATAAACAACAAATAGTTCACTGTCTTCCCCAAACTGTCTGGTTCTCCAGCCACTTGGGAGGGCCGTGCTGTAGCTGGTTGGCTCTCTGGCCAGCCAGGAGGGAACAGGCTGAGGCAGGTAGCCCAGGTCTCCAACTGCTACACGTTCTGTCCGGCCAGAATAGGTGGGGCTGCTCCACCCACCAAGATGGGTGAGACTAAGGCGCCTCAGGATATTCATGGCCTGGGGGCAGTAACCTGGGATGTGGGCTGGACTTGGCTCCAAGGGGTGGGGGAGCTTGTCGAAGGGGCAAAGCCTTAGGTGGAGGAGGTGGGGTTGGGGCTTGCCTTCTCCAGCTGGGCATTCATCAACCTCCCATGCTGTATTCCTTGTCTTAGAGTCTGATTTTCCCTATCTGCAGTAGTCTATGATTGACTAGATGTGCTTTCACATTTTGTCCTAATTTTTTATGGATGAATGGCTTCATTGTCAGGTAGATAGCAGTGCTGGCCTATTTAGACTGAGTGTTAGGAATTCACGTACATCTTTTTCCATATTTCAAATGATGTGTCCTGTTGTATATGTTTAGCAAGTAAATGACAAGGGGTTTTTAAATCAATGTTATGGCCAAAATTATAGTTTTGTTCAGATGCTAGCAAATACCAGGTGTGTGCATAAAATGTATTACATTTTTCCTGATTTGCTTCAGAGGCTTATACTTATGTGAATAGTGACTTATGGCCACATACATATGCAACAGTCATCAATGGAAATTGTGGTGCACTCTGACCCTGATCCAACAAAACACATGGTTAGGTTTAAATATGTAAGTAGTCTCATTGATGTGAAGCATGCAGAATGGCTGAAATGCTTGGCCTCTAGTTAGATCAAACTCCAACATCACAAGGTTGAATTCTCAAATGTTCCATCTGGGCTGAAAAAGTATATACATGTCTTTTAGCATTACAGTATTTCTACTATTGGTTCTGGCTAAAAGGAGAAAGAAAGTACAGAGGCAGCAACAACAAAGTATGAATAATACAAATAATGTAAGTATGTATGGGCAAAAGTGGAAATGCACAAAATGAACTCAAGCTAGCTAGAAACATAAAGTTTGGAAAAGAGAAGCCTGAAAGGGGATACAATAGCAGCTTTCAAATGACTAACAAGGTGTTACAAGAAGGAGAGAGAGAAATTATTCTCCTTAACTTCTGAGGATAGGACAAGAAGCAATAGGATTAAATTGCAGCAGAGGAGATTTAGGTTGGATATTAGGAAAAACTTCCTAACTGTCAGGGTGGTTAAACACTGGAATAAATTGCCTCGGGAAGTTGTGGAATCTCCATCATTGGAAATATTTAAGAGGAGGTTAGACAGACACCTCTCAGCAATATTCTAGATGGTTCTTAGTCCTGCCATGAGGGCAAGGGACTGGACTTGATCATGTCTTGAGGTTCCTTCCAGTTCTAGTGTTTTATGATGATTCTGTGAACTCAATAGCCTGAATGTTAGAACAATGGCTCAGATTTGGGGCAAAGGTCCACTTTTATCATTATTCTAACTCTTACCTAAATGGTTATATAAAATTTGTTTGGTTCTTGTCAGTGTCTGGCACAATAACCTCTCCATCTCTCTCTTTTAACTAAGTAATTGTTTAAAAGTGAAGAAAGAAGTGGTCTGTCTGAACAAAAACAAATAATTTAAATAATACTTTAAATTTAGATCTTATGATATTTTAAAGATACCATCCAATCCCAAGGCTTTATTATTCTGCAGAATTATCAAATGGGTTAGAATGCTGAACTTCTTTGTAACAAAAATAAACAGAAAAGTATTTTAAGCAATACCTAAAAGTGTTAGGATCATGTAATTGGTATTTAATGTATTCACTAGTCACTTCTTCCTTTTAGGGCCCATGCCAGATGCATGTAATATTTGGTGAAAAGACTTTGTGATGTTTCACTCCATATTCTTGAAGGAAATATGCATATGATTATGAATATGACATAACTGGAATATGCTTTATGGAAAATACTTCAAGTAACATTAACAGAAAAGTTATAACCTGCTCAATGTTTATAGCCTATTGTTGTGCATGGATTATTTTTATATCTGAAATTAGGAATCTGATGTGTAAACTTGTATTAGACTCATAGACTCATAGGCTGCGTCTAGACTGGCAAGTTTTTCCGCGAAAGCAAAACTTTTCCGAAAAACTTGCCATCTGTCTACACTGGCCGCTTTGAATTTGTGCAAGAACACTGACTATCTAATGTAAGATTGTCAGTGTTCTTCCGCAAATACAATGATGCTCCCATTCGGGAAAAAGCCCTCTTATGCAAATGCTTTTGTGCAAGAGGGCCAGTGTAGACAACTGAGAACGGTTTTGTGCAAAAAAGCCCCAATGACGAAAATGGCGATCGGGGATTTCTTGGGCAAAACCGTGTCTAGATTGGCACGGACGCTTTTCCACAAAAAGTGCTTTTGCGCAAAAGCGTCTGTGCCAATCTAGATGCTCTTTTCCACAAATGATTTTAACAGAAAAACTTTTCCATTAAAAGCATTTGTGGAAAATCATGCCAGTCTAGACATAGCCATAGACTTTAAGGCCAGAAAGGACCATTATGATCATCTAGTCTGACCCCCTGCACAATGCAAGCCACAGAATCTCACCCACCCACTGCTAGAATAATCCTCTTATCTATATCTCAGATATTGAAGTTCTCAAACGATGGTTTAAAGACCCCAAGATGCAGAGAATCCTCTCGCAAGTGACCCGTGCCCCATGCTACAGAGGAAGGCGAAAAACCTCCAGGGCCTCTGCCAATTGTTTTGTGTATTTATTTGTGTATTAATGCTAAATGAGAGTCATTAATAGTACTTCAGGAGCTTGATGTCTCTTTGGAGAAAAAATTATCTATAAACAGACTTGTTTTTCCTATCAGCCAGCTCATAGGAAGGGCTGAGAAATTCCACAAAACAATGGCTATGTCTACACTGGCCCCTTCTCCGGAAGAGGCATGCTAATTTCTAACTTTGGAATAGAGAAATCCGCGGGGGATTTAAATATCCCCCACGGGATTTAAATAAACATGGCCGCCGCTTTTTTTCCGGCTTGGGGAAAAGCCAGAAAAGAGCGTCCAGACTGGCGCGATCCTCCGGAATAAAGCCCTATTCCAGAGGATCTCTTATTCCTACTCTCAAGGAGATCTCTGTGACCAAACCCATCACGGAATCTCATTCACTTCAGTGGGCTTCGAGGGAGAACCTCAAATCATGAAAGCAAATTATCTTTGAAACCACTGACGGGTATATCTTTAAAGGATTGACTTTAACGAATCATGAGCAAGAAACAAGGGTGAAAATATAATATAGTATGAAGGTATCTCAGAGCTGTGATTTTGCTTAATTTAATTTTATGTGAAATTTCAATTTAGAGAGAAGGAGGGTTATTTAAAGAAGAAATAAACCTTAAAAATAATCTGGTATAAATTAATGGATGAGTTCATTTATAATTTTGTTGGATGTGCATTGAAATGATACCTCCTGAGAGGAAAATAATAAAAGCAATAAAGTGCAAAGAGATAAAAGAAATAAATTTCTGCATTAAAGTGAAAATAATACACTTTATCACTTTATGGATTCCATGATTAATGCTCTCAACTTACACAACATCATTCAGTTCTAGTCTTGTATCTGGTGAAGGATTGATCAAGATGTAAGAGAGGGTGTTTTGATGATCATTCATTTCATCTAGAGGACAAAAAACCCACAGGATTTATTAGATTATTTACAATGAAATTGTAAGAATTTTGATAAATTAACCTTAACAAATTGGGTTCCATTCCTATAGCTGTTAAAAGGCAACTATCAGGCTTGTTTCACAAAGTGA